AATATGGAATGCTTCAGGAATTTGCATGTCATCCTGGTGCTGGAGTTGGGGGACTCAAAATATCCTGTCTCTGGTAACAAGTTGGACAACTAGAGAGGCAAGGTCAGCAGGATGCTAAGGCAAGGATTTCCAGAAGCAATCAAGCCTTAGAAAAAATGCTAACTCGCCTTTCCTCCTTCCCTCCCTCTCTCTCTCCCTCTCACTCTCTCTCTCTCTCTCTCTCTCTCTCTCTCTCTCTCTCTCTCTCTCGTTCTTTCTTGTGATGAGGTCTTGCTATATTGCATAGTCTGGTCTCAAGCTTCTGTGATGAAGTGATTCTTCTGCCTCAGCCTCCCAAGTAGCTGGAACTATAGAGGCACTTAGCATTTGAGAATGCTAATTCTTAGGTGGGTGCAGTAGCACTTGCCTATAATGCCAGCAACACTTCAGAGGCTGAGGCAGGAGAATCACAAGTTCAAAGCCAGCCTTAGTAATTTAGTCAGAGCCTAAACAATTTAGTGTGACCCTGTCTCAAAAATAAAAATTGATAAATAAAAAGGGCTGGGGATGTGGTATAGTGGTGAAGTACTTCTGGGTTCAATCCCTGGTACTCTTTGTCCAAAAAAAAAAGCTGATTTTGGGGGCTGGGGATGGAGCTCAGCAGTAACACTTGCCTAGTATGAGGGAGGCCCTGGGGTGATCCTCAGCCCTGATTCCCCCCAAAAAAGGTGCTAATTCTTAGGCTCAGATTTTCTGTTGAAAGGATCCTGGAAAATTTTCTTTTCTTTTCTTTTTTTTTTTTTTTTGGTGGTGCTGGGGATTGAACCCAGGGCGTTGTGCAGGTGAGGCAAGCACTCCACCAACTGCACTGTATCTCCACCCCCTTCTTTCTTTCCTTCTTTCACTGCAAGTGATTTCACAGCCTGGCAAGTTTAACGAAATACTGATCCAGCCTTTTATTTCTTCATTCGTTAGTTCATCAGTGTCTGGACAAGCAGCAAAACAGAACAAGATACGATACAGAAGCTGCCCTGAAACAAGACTACCTTTTTCTTCTAGTGAGTGGTGATGATACAAACTGAAAAAGACTACTGGTTCTCCTAAAACAAGAGCAGGTAAAATTAGCTTTGTAAAGGGTGAGCAGGGTGAAATCAGGTAATAGAGAGGAATCTGCAGAATATTGGTTCACCAACCTCCATGGCCTTAGTAATCAAAAGAGTAGGTGAGGACAGGGTGGCGCTCAGTGGTAGAGCGCACGGACAAGGCTTGGGTTCCCTTCCCAACACTTCAAAATATACAGATAGCAACTGAAACAAACAAACACACAAAAAAGTTGGAGTGACTCTTGGAAAAGTCCTAGTATTAATCTCCTAGTGCAGCCATAACTAAGTGGCACAAACTTAGTGACTTGACACAACAGAAATTTATTTCTCACCGTTCTGGAAGCCAACAGTTCAGAGTATGAGCGGAGCTATGTTCCCTCAAGAGGTCTATTGGAGACTTCTTCCTTGCCTCTTCTGGCTACTGGTGACTCCATTTGTTTGTTCATTTGGGGGAGGGCCCTACATACACTGAGCAAGCTCCCTGACACTGACTGACACCCCCAACCCTCGGTTGGGTTTTAGGCTTGGGCTGCAGAATTACAATCTCTGTCTCTGTCTCCTTACAAGGCCTTTTCCACGCATATCCACTTCCTTCTATTTTATTAGGGCACAAGTCATTAGATTTAACATCACCCAGTTAAGGTGCAGTGATCTCATCTCAAGATTCTTAATTATATCTGCAAAGACTGTTTTTCCAAATATGGTCACATTCATAGGTACCAGGAGTTAGGACTTGGACAAATCTTTTTGAGGGTGGGGGAGTGGTGTTTTGCAATTCAACCCACTAAGCCGAATCATTTAAAACTGTCAAGCAGCCTGCGGTGTAGCTCAGTAGCCGAATGCTTGCAAGGCCCTGAATTGGACCCCAGCACCTCAAAAAACAAAGTCAGGCAGGCCCATGTAGCGTGCCTACCTACTTCAATGTGTTTAGAAGGTGTTTTAAATATAACTACTCTTGTTCCAGGGTTGTGGCTCAGTGGTAGAGTGCTTGCTTCATATTTGTGAGGCACTGGGTTTGATTCTCAGTACTACATATAAATAAATGAATAAAATAAAAGTTAATCAACAACTAAAAAATAATATATATACTCTTATTATTAATATTCCTTAGAATGACAGGTTTGCTTAAGAATTCACTTATCTACATTGTATATATTTTTAGAAGCATGACTTTGCTATTTCAAAATAAAACATAGTACTAAAACACTATAGGTAGGGGCTGGGGATGTGGCTCAAGCAGTAACGTGCTCGCCTGGCATGCATGGGGCGCTGGGTTCGATCCTCAGTACCACATAAAAAGAAAATAAAGATGTTCTGTCCACCGAAAAACTGAAAAATAAATATTAAAAAAAAAACACTACAGGTAGTAGCTAAAACTACATTCAGTTAATTATGATATTTTTGTTTATTTGGTTTGGTTTGGTTTGGTGTGGGGATTGAACCCAGGGGCACTGAGTTATATACCTCCCGCCCCTTTTTAGCTTATTTTGAGACAGAATTAGCTGGAAATGGGGCACAAGACTCTAATCCCAGTGACTCAGGAGGCAGTAGCAGATCACAAATTTGAGGCCAGACTCAGCAACTTAGCAAGATCGTAAGCAATTTAGTGAAACCCTGTCTCAAATAAAAAATAAAAAGGGGTGGGATGTGGCTCAGTGGTTAAGTACCCCTGGGTTCAATCCCTACTACTACTACTACTACCAAAAAAAAAAAAAAAAAAAAAAAAAGAGGGTCTTCCTGAGTTGCCCAGGCTGGCCTAGAACTTGAGACCCTCCTGCCTCAGCTTCCAGAATCACTGGAATTACAGGCATGCGCTACCTCACCTGACTCAGATGATCATGATTTTAAAAAAATAAGAACAAAACCCCCAAAAAAGTACAATTTTTTTTTCAGAAAGAATAATTGTTAGCATTAAAATAGATATGTCTATCAGAAGAAGATCAAAGTGGAAGAAGTAAAGGTATAATTTCTGTGGATATTCCTTCCCCTTGAGAAGTGTCGATAAATCAAGTTCTTTTTTTTTTTTTTTTTTGTGGTGCTGGGGATTGAACCCAGGGCCTTGTGCATGTGAAGCAAGTATTCTACCAACTGAGCTATATCCCCAGCCCTGATAAACCAAGTTCTATTGCTATTAATGTTTTGTTGTTGTTATTTGTTGGGGCTCACAGTGCTGGGGGTTGAACCCAGGGCCTCACACATTCTAGGCAAATGCTCCAACTTTGAGCTATATAGCCCCAGTTCTTTTTATTTTTTATTCTGAGATAGGGTCTTACTAAATTACTAAGGGTCTTGCTAAGTCACCAAGGCCAGCTTTGAACTTGAGATTCTCCTGCTTCTGTCTCCCAAGTAGCTGGGATTACAGGTGTGCATCTCCACACCTGGTATCATTTGCTTTTATAAAAACCAACTCCCATCTTTCTGATCATTTATTTGTCCACCCATACATACCACATCTGCAGCTATACCAGAAATACATCTCACAAAAACCAATTCTTGGGCTGGAGACATAGCCCAAGAAGAGTGCTTGCCTCCCAATCCAGTACCAGAATTCAGGAAATTCTATACCTGGGTGTCTCACTGAAAGATATCAGTGAATAGAGACAGAGAACCCCAGCAGGTGGAGGGTGAGGCTCCTTCTGCCCCAGAGAAGGCTGCATAGGCCTCCATCGCTCTAAGGGTACACAGATCATTGGTTTGAATCCTCAGCACCCTCTGAAAAAAATTCTCAAAAAGATAACAGATTCTGAGATAGAAAATCTAAACTCATCGGGTTTCACTGTTGGCACCCATCTGCCTTTTGCCCAACACTAATCCTAGATTCAAACTAGTCAGGATTTGCCTTAACAGTCAACACAGCACCAATATACCATTGCAACTTATAATATTGCAAACCCTGCTAAACACAATGACAGGCAAAATGAATTATCAGCAGGGATGGTTGTTATGTAGGTTAGTTGCCTTTTTGACCAATCAGGCTACTGTCCTGTTTTTCATTTAATCTCACATTTAATTTCTGCCTTGAACTTTCTAACATAGATAACATTACTAGTTCAGCCTGCATGTTACAAAAAAAAAAAAAAAAAAACTTAAATTAATTTATCTTGTATAACTTCTAATAATTCCAGGAGAGAAACATCTGTTCTATCCCAATTTCAAAAGGGACATTACTTTCTGTTTTTCAAAGAAATATTCAGAAGTCGCATATATTAAAATTCTAATCATTCAAACAAAGATGTGAGAAAGTTCTCCCACCCCCGGACTTTGTTTACTAAAACACAGAATTCCATAGAGGAGGCCCACTCTTTTGTGTTGAAACCAGTAATAGAAGGGAAGTGGTCGAGGCTCTGATAACTTTTACTAGGGTTTCCTTAATCTAGGCAATGGTTACCAATTTCAAGCATTTAACTTGAGCAGTGATAATTTAGTTGATTCCCAGATGAGTCATTTTGCAAACCTTTGGACATTAGCATTCTAGCTGGAATGGCCCACGAGCTGCCTTCCCGCTGACATCACTGGAAATCTTGAGTCGAGATCAAAGTTACTTCATGCCTCTCTGACCTTTCTTCATAAGGCACAGTGGGGCCTGATTTCTCAGCTCAGAATTTTCAGATTTGCTTCACTGTCCCAACCGGGGTTACCAATTGCAAATAGCCTACGTACAGACCGATGTTCACTGAAGACCCCACAACGGGCCCATTGGAAATCGTGTCTTAGATTCTGGCATTCAAGTGGTTTCCCAATCTAGTACCAGAATTCAGGAAATTCTATGTCCGGGTGTCTCACTGAGAGACATCAGTGAATAGAGACAGAGAGCCCAGCAGGTGGAGGGTGAGGCTCGTTCTGCCCCAGAGAAGCCTGCAGAGGCCTCCATCACTCTAAGGGTACACTGGGAGGATCCACCTGAGAAAGATCCCTTACCTTCAGAGTCATGTCTGGGCTGGATGTTTCTGGGGCACCTGAGCCTGTCTCATCTCCTGTTAGCAGCACACTTCGCCATCCGACCCCTGGGGGAAAAAATAAGTCCATTTGAGCCAAGTAGATTCAGCAGACATGGAAAGACACATAGATGTCCTTTGGTAGATTCCAAGCCTGGACGAAAGGAAACAGATGGTGACCCGTGGCCACTTACCTACCTGGGGGTTCCTGGGAAAGCTTTCTTCTGGAAGTGTGGTCAGTTAGCACCTCTTCTGTTTTTATCTAATCTCCAATTTTTGGACTTCATTATTCAAAAATGTGATGATCAGTATGGTACAATTTTTTAAAAATCCTGAATTTTACAGATTCTGTTCCTACCCCAGATGTTGCAGAAGGGGTTGGAATGAACTCCTCCAACGTCCAGGCCTCATACTGAGGTCTCACATGGGCCTTAAAGTGAATCCCAGAACAGAAGCATACACAGCTACGTCAGCACTCAGTAGAAATGACTCCAGATAATTCCCTGTTCTCAATTCCACATACCCCCTGGAAAGGTCTGAGAGTTTATCGTCACTTTTAAGAGTTTACTATCATTTTTAAATCTATATGCATTTTCCCTGCACATCTCTTGGGGAGCTAGTGTTTCTTTCTTCTTAAAGTTGTCCAAGAATGGATATCTGGAAAAATGCAAGGTTTTCTTCTATCTGACCTCAAAGAAGAGATCAGGTGCTGTTGTTCTGAAGGAACACAATTTAATAAAGCTGCACTAATCCAGACATGATAAGGTAAATAGAGCTGGGATGGCCTTAGTGAAAAGTTTGAAGTAATGACTTTCAATGTATTACAAGTAAAGTCATCTCCTTAAAGGCTAATAAAGAATACTTCAATTTCTCAGGGTCGACTTTAAGAAGAAGATTATATATATATTCCCCCCCACCCAGTGCTGCGGATTAAACCCAGGGTCTTACCTCACATATTGGGCATGTACTCTACCACTGAGTTACACTCCCAGCCCATATGAATTTATAACTGGTATTATAACTGTTTTAGAAATGAGTGCTTAGAACATGAAATATTAAAAGATTATTTTTTTAGGCAAAACTGCATGCATTATTTGTTTACATCACTGATTTCTTTAACAAATAATTTTCCCTAAAGGTAACTCAAGAATAATATTCATCTGAGACCCGTAGACCTGTGTGAATAACCCAAATTCCAAAATTCCAACAGTCTCATATTACATTAATTCAGGACTGAGAAACTTTACTGTGTGCCAAATAGTGAATATTTAGGCTTTGTGGTCTTGTCTTTTTTGTTTGTTTGTTTTGTTTTGTTTTTGAAGGACATGATAGTTTAAAAAATTGTACCACACAGATCATAATGACCAGCATACACATGATAATGGCTTTTCTCTTGAGTATCATCATTGCAGTATTTTTGAATATTGAAATGTTTCAATAGGACCAAGAATGTTAAGAGAATGTTAAGAGAATAAATATCTTAGATGAAAATGGACACTAATAATTCTGATGTCCTAACCCATGGAACTAATTTAAACTCCTTATGAATCAGTGACATAATGTTATCTAGTTATGAAGAACAAAAGGTTCTCTTAGAAGTAGGCAGTATGGGCCAGGCGTGGTGATGCACGCCTTTAATCCCAGCAGGAGAATCGCAAGTTCAAAGCCAGCCTCAGCAATGGTGAGGCGATAAGCAACTGAGTGAGAATGTGTCTCTAAATAAAATATAAAATAGGGCTGGGGATGTGGCTCAGTGGTTGAGTGCCCCTGAGTTCAATCCCTGGTACCCCCACCCCTAAAAAAAGAAGTAGGCAGCATGAACTGCTAAACTACTTTTTTCTCCTTTAATCTTTAGTTTTTATAATTTAACTTATGTCCACCCTGGCTTGGTCTTATCTTTTCTGTTGCCAATTCTCAAGCCTCCTTTATAGAGTAAAAGCAGTCATTGACAACATATAAACGAACAGGCACAGCTAGATTCCAATAAAACTTTATTTATCAAAACAAGCAGTGGGCCAGATTTGCCCCACAAGACATATTTACCAGCACTGTGCTAAGCTAAGAAACCAGAGGGCTGGGGATGTAGCCCAGGGGTTGGTAGTTTACAGCTTAACACACAAGGCCCCCAGCACCAAAACAAAAGAAAAAAAAAAAAACGAAAACAGAAGTAAGTTTGCTACACTAGCGTTTCTAATATGAATCAACCACCCAGGTGATAAAATACTAACAATTATTTGAACTTACATGATATTTAAATAAACTAGTATGAAATTAACTAAATTTTAATATATTAGCATTGGTTACATGTCCTTATTTTAAATGCTGGGTCTTAAAAGCCTCGTTTTACTAGGTATTTGCACAATGAATTACTCAAGATCTTTGGACTGTAATTCACTGCAAGGCGCAAATAGACTCCGACCAGGTTTCAGAAATTGGGTCAGAGGAGTTTGGTGACATGCCTTAGAAATTCCTGCAAAGACATTGTGGGCTTTGTCTTATTCTCAAATTTCTGGGACAGAAATCTCTGCTCCTACATAAATAGATTATTTCCCTGATGTGTTTTGCATTAACAGACTAATCATCACTCTTGGTTTAAGCCATGTTAGTAGGTCTGACCCATACAGACACATACATTGGGCAAAATGAATAACCATATGGCATTTAATTAATTAATTTAGAAATTTTTTTTGCAGTGTCAGGGTTGCTCTATTACTGATCTACATCCCCAGCCCTTTAATTTTTTATTGAGACAGGGTCTCACTAAATTACCAAGGCTGGCAATCCTCCTGCCTTAGCCTCCCCAGTACCTGGGGTTACAGGAGTGCACCATGGTGATTAGCATATTCAATTTAAATGGTAGTCTATAAAATTGTTCTGCAAATATTCATTCCCCTCCCCTCCCACTACGGGAGAAATTTTTTTCCTTGTCCTGCAATTTGATAGGAAGTAAATAGGCCTAAGAGTAGCAAAGTTTGGAAATGGGCTTGTATGGTGAGCTTTGACCTCTTGCAGTACTGCTTTAGCATGAGAAGGACATGTCCCAGCTAACCTATAAAGGAATGGGAATCATGGGGAGAAGACTTGAACTCAGTCTTCATGTCAGAGACAATCCAAGTTTAAGTCACTCAACCCCAGTCCAAGGTCTATTGAGTAGTACCAGAATGACTTGTGAAGCAGGGTTATTATAATAATAGCTAATGGATAGAATGTATAACAAAAATTATGAATAAAAATCATTTTATATCAGGCATTCTTTTTCTTTTGAGATGGGGTCTGACTATGTTGCCCAGGCTGGCCTCAAACTCATGGGCTCAAGTGATCCTTCTGCTTCAGCCTCCCAATAGCTGGAACTACAGGCACCCACCACTGTGTCAGGCTGGATCAAGTACTTTTATCTTTAATTATGCAAATTTAACTCTGCAGCATAAAAATGTATTATTCTAGTTTGGGAGGAAATTTCTCTCTGCTAAGATCATGCCTTTTGCAATCAATACTATATTTATTAAGAGTTTTATGGCCAAAAGAATGAGATAAGAGGGTTGTGGGTATAGCTTGGTGTCAAATGCGAAGCCCTGGGTGCAATCCCCAGTACAGGAAGAGGAGGAGGGAGGGAAGAGACACAAACATTAGCATTCTCAAAATTTTAGACTGCAATCAAGAAAACACTTCAAATTTGATAGCCTATAACTTATTTATGGCAAGCTTGAGTAAAAAAAAAAAAGATATAACACTTTGGTTTAAAAATGTTCTTAAGCCAGGCGTGGTGGCTCATGCCTGTAATCCCAGAGGCTTGGGACTTGGGAGGCTGAGACAGGAGGATCTTGAGTTCAAAGCCAGCCTCAGCAAAAGTGAGGGGCTAAGCAACTCAGTGAGACCCTGTCTCTAAATAAAGTACAAAATAGAGCTGGGGATGTGGCTCAGTGGCTGAGTGCCTCTGAATTCAATCCCTGGTACACAGCTCCCCAAAATAAAAAATGCTAAAAATGGCCTTAATCTTAAATTGTGAGGACAGAAAAGTTTTTTTTTTTTTAAATATTTTTGTTTTGTTTTGTTTTGGTATTGGGGATTGAACTGGGGGACACTCAACCACTGAGCCACATCCCCAGCCCTTTTTATTTTTTATGTTGAGACATGGTCTCTCTGTAAGTTGCTCAGGGCCTCTCTAAATTGCTGAGGCTGGCTTCAAATCTGCAATCCTCCTGCCTCAACTTGGGCTTACAAGGATGTTTTTATTGCTTTATTAAATTAATTTTTTAATTTATATATGACAGTGGAATGCATTAAAATTCTTATTACACATGTAGAGCATAATTTTTCATATCTCTGGTTGTATATAAAGAATATTCACATCAATTTGTGTCTTCAGACATATACTTTGAATAATAATGTCCATCACATACCACCATCATTTCTAACCCCATGCCCCTTCCCTTCCTCTCCAACCCCTCTGCCCTATCTAGAGTTTGTGGATTCCTCCCATGCTCCCCACTCCCTATCCCACTATGAGTCAGCTTCCTTACATCAAAAACATTTGACATTTGTTTTTTTGGGATTGGCTAACTTCACTTAGCATTATCTTCTCTAACTCCATCCGTTTACTTGAAAATGCCATGATTTTATTTTCTTTTATTGCTGAGTAATATTCTATTGTGTATATATGCCACATTTTTTTTATCCATTCATCTATTGAAGGGCATCTAGGTTGGTTCCACGGTTTAGCTATTGTGAATTGTGCTGCTATAAACATTGATATGGCTGAGTCCCTGTAGAATGCTGTTTTTAAGTCTTTTGGGTATAGACTGAGGAGAGGGATAGCTGGGTCAAATGGTGGTTCCATTCCCAGTTTCCCAAGGAATCTCCATACTGCTTTCCATATTGGCTGCACCATTGCTGCCCTCCAGCAGTGTATGAGTGTGCCTTTCCTCCACATCCTCGCCAACACTTACTGTTGTTTGTATTTTTAGACATCTTCCCACCTAGACACACAGTTAGATGAGTAAGTCCTTCAGCCTCAGCTTCCAGATCCCTAGCATGGACCTCTCTGTCTGTAGTCCCTGTCTGTGCTCTGC